CCATGGATCAATGCCAATGACTGGGTCACCATTCTTCTGGTCCTAACCGCGCGAAGATCCTAGGATTGTTGCAGGAAGTCTTGTGCCAAATGGCCACTCTCCAAAAGCACTGAACAACCCAGCCAGTGCTTGTCTGGATGCTGGTGAAGACAGAGACAACTGGGGCTATCTTGCTTGGAGGAAACACAATCGTATGCGTTGCTGGACATCGCCTCCGAAGCTTGCAGATGTGGCACTACCAGTAGACATACCCCTGACAAACAATGAATAACCAATAAATCTCAAAAACCGATTCTCATCCCACAGAGTCCCAGCTCCCAATCAGCGGGACTGTCAGGGGAATTGAGGGCACTAAGGTTTTTCTGAGGTACCTGCCTCTGGTGGCTTTTCGGCCATGACCTCAGCCAGCGAAGAGGTTGTCACAAGTCTTAAGATTCAAGGTTAAAAGCTTCCTTGGCCCCTCAGTACCACAGGGCTTTCAGTTTCGGCTTCGGCTGCCGTTTCGCTTGCACTTCCTTAGTGCTCCGCTTCTGGCCCTCCCACTGCTGCACGTGTAGCTTACATGCAGGCACGTGGACCTGGCAATGGTGGACATCCTGCTCCGCACGAAGTAGGCATTACAATAATGTAGATCCAGGGCCCGAGCTGATCCAAGATTTCCCTCAGCAGTATCAGGTTTAGCCATGAGCTTTAGCACCCGAACTTTTACAGAGATGTGATGAATTCGTCGGGCTCAGGTGTAGAAGCAAGCTGTTTGCTTCTAGGCTCAGAATTCAATAAGTCTTGGAGTGTTGATAGTGAGAAAAACAATTCACTGGCATGTTTCCTACTTCGTAGATTCCAAAACCAAGGGACCGCGATACGGGCCCCAACATGCTGCAATCCTGAGTCTGGCCCCACAAGGATCCCTGATTTGTGCCAACTCCCATTTTCAAGCTTGTACATTACTCTTTCTGGAGACTAGGCTAGGCAGTTACTGAGCGAAATCCCTACAATCTGTTGTCAATGCATACTAGGATAAAATCGGATGGGTGAAACAAGTGAAGCACGTCTGTGGCTCTGTGGCTCCGTCGACCTAAGCCGAATATCGAACACTCCCTACATAATCCCTCCTCGCCAAACCCTATAGCAAATGTATCTACCCTGCAACCCAGCATGAAAGCTTTGAAAAGCCATGAATCCTACCAACAAACCTTGTAGTCTCAACAGCCCTAATTGCTGAGGCAAGTGCTGCAGCCAGTTCGAATTCTTGGCCTCCCTGGGTGACTGAATGTCACCCGCCCTATTTCCACAGTTCAGTCTTTGGCACGGCAGCAGCGAAAAGGGGGGTTTGGGGCGAAGGCTTCTGTTGCCCTTTATCTTCGGGCCCGGTGGCGTAGCGCTTCAAGCAAACGCTGTCTTGAGCTATCTTCTGGTCTGGATGGTCATCCAAGGATTATCTTGTCTGGGGATCTATGTTGAAAAAGGGTTCTATCCTTGATACTTACATACGCAGGGGCAAACTCATCACACATGCCCAAGCATCTTCCCTATACCTCTACCAACTGCACGGCCCCAGTAGGCTTACGCGTTATCATCACCCGTCATGGAGATCTGTATCTGCGCGGCCCTACGGCAGACCCATAAACTTCAACCTTGAATCCCTGAACCACTGAAAGGCAAGCGCAAGGAAAAGGATGCACACTTCTACCTGGTGCTTTGTGGATGCGGGGATGGATCCCCAAATGGCTGAATCCATGCCTTCCTTCCCCCCGGACACCACGGACCTTTTCCGCGCACGCGTCAGGTGCACTCCTATCCGTGCATGCCTGGAAAGTCCAAGCAACAGTCTGGGCGGCGCCAAGCTCAGATGATTTCGGGGCCCTTCTAAATGGGAGTACCCTGTAATAATAGGATGGCATTCTAGAGGTCCTTACTCATGATTCTGCCAGTATACTTCTAAGAATCTCCCACTTGCGTATTTTCTAGACTAAGGGCTTTTCAGAGTTGAAAAATTTGACACAGGAACCTCCAAAACAACCATTGAAGCACATGCCCATTTTCCACACAAGGTAAGCAACAGTGACGGTCAACATTTTTGAAGCCTTGTAAGAGCTATCTGAGGTTGCTTTAGGGCCCACTGGGCTCGCTTGAAACCCTCGATTTGGGGCCCACCCCTCCGTTCTTAAATTGTAAATTGTCGCCTCTCTACCGCAGAATCCAGCCTCCGAGCTCTTACAATCAGAAAGATAACTGTGAACATGTCCCCAGTTAATGGGCACCGACAATTGGGTGCGAAGAACAGGAGAATCAAAATCCATCCCGAAATCGGCCCAGGCTGCTGCTCAGAGACTCCAGGCTGGTAAGGGTAAGCGCGGCACCACTCAGTGAGGAGGCCCATGTGAAGTCGACTTGCGCGGGCATAATGCTTTCTGTCTTGATGGTGAAGGGTTTCGGGAAGGCATGAAAGGGTCACCCGAAACCTTAAACCCCAGGGCCTGCACGTCCGACCCCCATCAAGCAGGAGCTTACTGACAGCAAGCATGCTGGGATGAGCAATGCAGGCTTGAAGGTCACTCGCTCACCAGGTTTTAAGGCCTAAGATTTAGGCCTTTACTCCGAGAGTGTCTGGGAAAGGACCTAAGGCGGAAATAGAACGTTTCTTGAGATTCCTGTTGAAACTATGCAAGCAATGTGCCGGCGAAAAGTAAGAAGATTTTCTGGGGTACCAGGATTATCAGGGGGCAACTTGCCTGGATAAATCATCGACACACGCTCGCAAGAAGCTTTCTCAAAATATTTATAGACACCCGAGAATGATTATCCATAGTGCAGGGCCCCTACAATGAAAGGAACTTCTAATGTTGAGAACTCCTGACATCAGAAGGTATGGTGTTGGACATGAAGGCAGGTTACGAAACCTTTGTCTTCCCCATACTTGAAATAGCAACGGCTTCTGTTGAAGGACCCCAAACCTTGAATCCACGATATCATCCTGAGCTTGTTGAGGCAGTGGTCTCAGCGTTAGCACGGAGGCCGTGAGCTGCAAGCGGGTTTGACTCGACAGGGGTCTCCCATTCGGTGGTCACAGCATACCTAAAAGAATTCGGCGAAACCCAATAACCAGAAGAACAGGATTCTTGTCTGAAACCCTGAAAAAGGCTGAACTACCTGTGGAAGGATTCGTCGGAGCAAGAGGCGCTCAGATTGCTGGGTCACCTAAGCAAAAATGGCTGGAGCACGGTGAAAATTCTCGGCTGTTTATGGTTTCTTCGGGATGCCAATGAGGATTTTAGGCCGGAATGCTTAAGCTCTTCGAAAATATGGATGCACCCTGGGACATCTCCCGATAGAGTTCTAAACGGTAAATGAGGACCTTGAGACCTGACAAGGCAAATGTCACGACATCCATAGACATGCCCAAGAAGATACCAGCAGAGATGCGGCCAACTTTTTCAAGAACTACCATGCCGATTGATGTTGGTACGGCTCCATGAAAAAGTGAAGTCTCAAGGCAAACCAACTGACCAAGGGGTTGGCTGGCTTTGATTTGAGAAGTTGAGGATTTCGAGTTTCTTTCGTGCAAGGCTACTGAGAAAGGCTTTGTCCGGAATCCAGAGCTCATCCTGAAAATAACAGACCCTAGACTCCAAGCCACCCTCAAGGCTGCACCGAGGCTTGAAGGGGCTCGACGTGGGGATTCCGTGCGAGATGACTATGTTGATGATATCATCTGTTTCAGCATGCTTGCTTTTGAGCTTCTACATTATTATTGGCGGGCATTCACACACTCGGGGTCCCTTGTATGTAACTGCAGGACTTTGCCTATCCCCAAGCCCGAAGCTGCACGACCCTAACACCGCATGCCCCAATCTGTAAACCACAGCTGTTCCTGTGTGACCAGGCCTAGGAGGCTTGTAGGGATATGGCGTGGCCTGGACAGCGTCGGAACCTGGGCCGGGTCTGGCTACAATTCATGGTTGCATTTCACGGCGTCGGAATCTGTGAAGTTTACAGCACAGCTTGCAATGAAGACAAGGGCACTCATCATCATGAGAATTCTCCTTCGTCCTGTTGTATGTGCTGCCAGCGTGATATGGACCCCTGCCCACTTCACAGGGTTGGGGCGTGTAGGTTTGAACCAGCTTGGGGCTTCAGTGTGAAGTGTTAAGGTGTTTCGTTCCAATTCTGACAAATCAAGTCATGACGTAACTCGTATCTCTTCACAGCCTCGTCCTGATCGTCAGCTCGTCGGAGTCAGCTTTGTCACCCGCGTTGTGAAATTCAAAGTCGGCAGTCAAGGTGGCGGTGGTGGTGGCGGCGGCGGCAGTGGTTGTGGCCGCAGTAGCGTTGGTGGTGGTGGTGGCGCCGCCAGTGGCGACGGTGCCGGTCCGGTGCCGGGCGTGAACCGCTGTGGCGGCTGTAGGTATGATCTCTTGATCATCGGAACATAAGACACGTACCAGTTCCATAGCTATTGAGATATGAGCCGTTTCTCAAACCATCTGCGCAACCAGGATGGCGTGCTGGACTCAGCTGGCCGGCTGAGCCTCCCCGCTGTAGTAGTTCGGTGGCACGGTTCGCTGGCTGCGCTGGCTTGACTCACTCGTGGAAAACGACCTCAGCTCGTGCTTGGATAGGTTGGAAGGTGTCTAAGATCGAGCAGAATAGCCCTACGAGTCCAAGTACATGCTTGTTATGGCGAATAATCACTGCATACTCACATGCTGGCTGAGGCCAAACCCAATGCAATTGTTCCCAGACCCAGGCACAGTCTGCGCCATGGCCCATCTCAAAAAAAATGAACTTTCCGCACGAACGATACAGAACCAAACATGTCTGGGGCAGATAGGAGACCCAAG